TGCTTCAATCTGCTACAGCACTGACAGTCAGTGGCCACTTTAATGGCAAAATGGGGAAAATAATCCACAAATCCCATGCTTTGTAACCTCTGACCATTCTTCCCCATATAAGCAGTTATATTCTTGGCAGTTACTGACTGAGAAGTAAAATCAAAACCTGGATAAAAACCTCTAATCCCATAGGCTCCAATTGAGAGCTGGTATTTGCACTGAGACATCAGCTCTGAATTTCACCACAGTCCACTATATTTCAGATAAGTCACCCCCAATGCCATAAAATACATGGCAGAGCAGAATCACTTTGCAGGAGGAACTGTGTAATCCCCAAACACAGGCTCACACAGCACCTCACCTTTAGAGTCACGATACCTTCCATTTAAAAAACACTCCTTCTTAAACTAGTTTTAAGGAATGCTTCATTGTGACCTAAGCTTCCCAGCAAAGCTCTGCAATGCCGAAGGATCCTAATGTCACAGTGTCTGAATAACCCAGTAACTAATTACACCTCCTTGATAATGACTTGTCAAAAAACGATCGCGACCGGTATGAATTCCAAAGGGAATCCATTCATTTAGCAGCTCCATCTTGATTTACTGAGGCACATATGAGTGCAATAATAAACGTATATACACTTACACATTTTAAATACGCACATGACACATGTTCTGCCTACACTTAAAAGTACTCGTCTTAATAGAGATCTTTGTCGGTAATTACTGGTTACATTCACAGAAGAGTTGCAGGGGATCATTCTTTGCGTTCAAGCAAAGAAAGCATTATGTGAATCACGCCATCGCTGCTTTCTGACACCCTACTAAGTGCTGCAGAGCCTAGCAGCAGCACCCCGCCTCACGTGTAACGCTGACGCTACATATTCTCTCTCCAGCAAGCCAGCACCCTCATTGTGCTGAGCCAGAGTATCGCCATTCAGGTATCAGCCGAAGGATCGCTTTGGTCTCCTCCATACAACAAAGCCATTTCCCACACAAACTCTCAACAAGTTCCTTCCACAAAACCAAATGGAACCAGTTAAAGACAATGAGCTGTCTCAGGCCAAGCTGAGTTTTGTGGGCATGTAGATTTGATGGAGAAGGTCTGGAGACCAATTTGTGAAGGACAACTGCATCCACCTGGAGCGAGGTGGACACCAGAACCTAAATTCCAAAGCAGTGTTAGCTGAACTCCTCCTTAAGCCAGCTTTTTTTTTTTTTTTTTTAGGAAGGAGAAATTTCCCCACTGCAGTCTGGGCTGTGGAGAAACGCTTTAAACTGAGAAGCAATGCAGTGGTGGGCTGGACAAAAGGACTGAAAAACGCAGCACAATCCAGCCGCAGGAAATTAGCTAATGGGATTTATCAGGCTACACCCAAACAGCACGGGCCTGCGACCTCTACACCAAACGCCAGCAGCTGACATCCATGCCTTGTTTTTTCCAAGGGTGGGAAGGGAAGCACCAATGCTTTGAATGCCAGCCTGGATCTCCAGAGCCATCTGCATTAAGACAACGAAGGGTTGGGCTGCACTGTTGAAGCGGTTTTATGACGCTTCTGCCTTGCAGCCCCAGTGGCCACCACCTACTGGTAAGAAAAAGGCAGAAGCCAAGTAGATTCGTGTGGATAAATTCATGAGTTTTCCATTCCAGGAAGCTGTAAAAACACAGAAAGCACGTGGAATGGAGTGGCAGAAGAAAGGAGAGGGAATGAATCTGCATTTGTTATCTCTTAAATGAGAGATTGGATCCAGGTACGGAACAGAACAAAACGCTATCCTGCAAGCTGAGAAGCAAAAGAAACAAGCAGGGAGAGACTGAGATGAAAACTGCAGAAAGACCTGGCAGATGCTATGCCCAACCACGCAGTAAGAGATGCACCCAGTCACTGAAGCCACGAGTAAGTTATGCAGATCCTCCTGAACTGCCGCCAAGCTAAACTGTCCGGCCTCCACTGAACACTGGTATAACCGGGGGAAAAAAAGAATGAAACATTTATCTGGCAAGTGCTTTCAAAAAGAGAAAGCGGCTGCTGGGAGCTGCTCAAGGGGCTGGAATGTCAGACACGGCTCCAGCGGGACAGATTAGCCGTCAAAACGCACAGAGGCAGGCAGAGATTTTTAATAAAATTCAGGTTATCTCATGGTGATTACCACCTCTTATTTGTACCATGAGATCATGATGAACATAGCACATATTTCTTTACTCCTGGAAACAGAACGTCAGCTGGACAGCCATGAGATAAATTGCCCCTTTTCGTGTACTTCTACTTTTCTTTCTAAACCTCTGTTTCCAAACATCTGTCACTTAGAGTTGACAATAAAAACCCACCAGGAATATACTTCATATCTTTCCCCCCAAAAAAGAGTCCAAGCTCCAGGGCTGTTCCATTTAGCACCTAAGTCTGAACTGTTTGCAAGCAGGCACAGGCAGCTGAAGTATAACATGTGAGATGGGGAACTCGGGGGCCTCCAAAAAATGATAAGATACATTAAAAAAATATTTTGTGTTGACTTCTATGCCTTAAAGCATGCCCTTCTCCGCTTCCCCCAAATGTCATTTTGAAGGAAAGGCTGAGGGATGGGAAATGCAGCATTACTTCCATGTTAAGATTCTGCAACCAAATTTGGGATAATACAGTAGCAGCCTTTATTAGCGCACTCTATGAATGACTTGTGTAATTTGCTCGTGCTTTGCCAGGCATGAGTAATGCAAGAATCACCACAAGATCCCAACACCACCTCTGTGCCACTTCACTTCCACATGCTGCCGGATCTCTGCTGGACCCATCCTGCTTCTGAGCAGTCCTTCTTCAGCCAAACCTCTGCTCTCCTCGGGCTGAGCAAACTAAGCGACCTCGGCCGCTCCTCACACATCTTCCATGCACCTTTCACCCGCTCCTCACTTCACCTCGACTTTCCCCTTTGGCTGCACGGTTTGAGATTTGCAGCACTGCCGCTCAGCACCATTCACCTGATCATTTTCCAGTTAACCTGCTGGTTAACCGCCACCCTTAACACCATCAAAACAGCCAAATCGTACCACAAAGCTCAGTTCTCACCAGGTGACACCTGGCGTGACATCCATGGTCATTAAAACCAGCCATACCCTGCGCCGCATCACCCAGGAGCACAGATTTGATCAGGATCAGGCCAAGGCATATAAGCACACTCCTGCTCAACAAGGCAGAGTGCACGGTGCAGAGCCGGACTCAACGCCGGCTTTGCACCAGCTGCAGGGGTCCAGACGATACCTGATCCAGCTGGGGCTGTGCTCAGCGATACCTGAGCCGGCAGAAAGTCTGCTCATAAAAAGTTAACCTGTCAGGAGCATCGTGAGCTGACTTGAGCAGACAGAGTGAATGAGCAGCAGGTCAGCGCATCCCATCACGTGGCCTGGGAGTTGTAGTGCTGGGCTCCGTGTGCTGCCAAAGCACAGCCACATGTCGGAGGAGGCACGTGTGCGTGCCGGGACCTCATGGCAGCATTGGGGCCTGAGAGTCCATCACTTGTTGCTGCCCCTGACTTGGAGCTAACACTAATGCTAACGCATATGAGGAGGGAGCAATGGTGATTCTGCAGCAGACATGATTAAAGTCGAGCCCATTCCTCCAGGCTGCTGAAAGTCTCACTGTAACAAATGTTGTCAAAACCAGGCTAATTTCAGTATCACTTCAGCAATCCAAACGATATTAAGAACGCACCCCACCGTGTTAAACGAATACAAGCTTTATTTTTTTTTACAGCACTTTGACATGGAAGACCAGCACTTCTCCTTTGGAGGCATCCTGAGAAGCCTTACCTGCTCCACAACACCACTTCATCCAGTTGTAGCACCCAGTGACAGCCCTGGGCCCGAGCCGTACTGTTACCCCCACACGAGGCTACGAACACGCAGGAAACTCGGATTTCCAACACTCATTCCCGACACGGCTGGAAACCGCTCAGCTCATGGGAGCGCTCACACCGTTTCCGAGCCGAAAGTTCTTTCACGGCCCGCCCGGCGGCCCTACAATAGCAGCCCTCGTCACGTCCCTATAGCCGGGCACCAGGCGCCCCGCGCAGCAGCAGCCTGGCCTGCACACCCCCCCCACATTCCGCATCAGCCCCTCCGCTCCCTCCCCTCGGGGCCCGCAGCCGGGAATCCCCGCCGGCCCCGCGCGAAGGTGCGCCCGGCCCGGCGTGGCCCCGCCGGCGGCGCGGCAACGGTTAACGGCGGGACGCAGCGAATGGGCCGCGCTGTTGCCGGGGCGACGGCTCGGAGTGTTCCGGATCGTACCATTGCGCAAGGGCGCGGGGAGCGCCAGCGGCGGCGGTGGCAGCGCCGGCAGCCCGGCCCATCCCATCCCAGCCTCCTCCTCCTCCTCCCTCGCTCCCTCCCCGCCCGCCTCGCCGCGCCTCCTCCCCCTCCTCCCGCCCGGCCGGAGCGCGGCGCCGGGGCCCAGCAGCGAGCGGCGCGCGGCGGAGCGGAGCAGGCGGCCGGCGGCGGCCGGGCCCGGAGCGGCGGAGTCGGTACCGGCGGCGGGGCGGGCCGGGCCGGGCCGGGCCGTGCCGGCGCGACCCCCTGCCTCGCTCGCTGCCCTCTCGCCGCCGCCGCGGGATGCGGGCGGCCCGGGGCCGCGGGCTGTGAGCGGCGGCGGCGGCAGCGCGGAGACAAAGGGAGGCGGCGGGGCCCGGCGGCCGGCGCCGGAGCGCGGGGGGCCGCCGGCGCCGGAGCGCACCCGGCCGCCGGGAGGCGGCACGATGCGGCACGGCGCGGCGCGGCGGCAGCAGCGCGGCGGCAGCAGCGGCAGCAGCGGCGCGGCCCGCCCGGCGCGGCGGTAGAGGCGGCGGCCGCGGGGCGCGGGGCCGGGCCGGGCCGCTCGCGCGGCAGCAGCGTCTCCCGCGGGCCGGGCCGCGCCGCCCGGGCCGGCGATGTGAGGGCGGCGGCGGCGGGCGGGAGGAGCGCGGCGAGGCGCGGAGCGCGGAGCGGAAGGCGGGCGGGCCCCGAGCGGAAGCGGGCCGGGCCCGGCGGCGGAGCGCGGCGCCGGCGGGGGCGGCCGGGCGCGGGCGGGCGATGGAAACGCACATCTCGTGCCTGTTCCCGGAGCTGCTGGCCATGATCTTCGGGTACCTGGAGGTGCGCGACAAGGGCCGCGCGGCGCAGGTGTGCACGGCCTGGCGGGACGCCGCCTACCACCGCTCCGTGTGGCGGGGCGTGGAGGCGAAGCTGCACCTGCGCCGCGCCAACCCCTCGCTCTTCCCCAGCCTGGCGGCGCGGGGCATCCGGCGGGTGCAGATCCTGTCGCTGCGGCGCAGCCTGAGCTACGTGATCCAGGGCATGGCGGACATCGAGAGCCTCAACCTCAGCGGCTGCTACAACCTCACCGACAACGGGCTGGGCCACGCCTTCGTGGCGGAGATCAGCTCCCTGCGCTCGCTCAACCTCAGCCTCTGCAAGCAGATCACGGACAGCAGCCTGGGCCGCATCGCCCAGTACCTGAAGGGGCTGGAGGTGCTGGAGCTGGGCGGCTGCAGCAACATCACCAACACCGGGCTGCTGCTCATCGCCTGGGGCCTGCAGCGCCTCAAGAGCCTCAACCTGCGCTCCTGCAGGCACCTCTCCGACGTGGGCATCGGGCACCTGGCGGGCATGACGCGCAGCGCCGCCGAGGGCTGCCTGGGTCTGGAGCAGCTCACGCTGCAGGACTGCCAGAAGCTCAGCGACCTCTCGCTCAAGCACCTGGCCCGCGGGCTGGGCCGCCTCCGCCAGCTCAACCTCAGCTTCTGCGGGGGCATCTCGGACGCCGGGCTGCTGCACCTGTCGCACATGAGCAGCCTGCGCAGCCTCAACCTGCGCTCCTGCGACAACATCAGCGACACGGGCATCATGCACCTGGCCATGGGCAGCCTGCGGCTCTCCGGCCTCGATGTCTCCTTCTGCGACAAAGTGGGGGACCAGAGCCTGGCCTACATCGCGCAGGGACTGGACGGGCTGCGCTCGCTCTCCCTCTGCTCCTGCCACATCAGTGACGAGGGCATCAACCGCATGGTGCGGCAGATGCACGGGCTGCGCACCCTCAACATCGGCCAGTGCGTCCGCATCACCGACAAGGGCCTGGAGCTCATCGCTGAACACCTCAGCCAGCTGACGGGCATCGACCTCTACGGCTGCACCCGCATCACCAAGCGGGGCCTGGAGCGCATCACCCAGCTGCCCTGCCTCAAGGTGCTCAACCTGGGACTGTGGGAAATGACTGAGAGCGAGAAGGTCAGGTGAGAGGAGGGGGTGCCCCGAGACCTCCGTCTCCTCCGGAGGAACTCACGGACTGAAGGACTGACTGACTGCTGCAACGGAGGAGTGGAGAGAGGGGCACGCGCACAGCCATGCTACCCACGCACCCTGGCACTGGAGGGAAGAACAGAGCGAGTATCCTTGACCCCTGTGTGCTGCCTGCCTGCCCTCGTTCTGGAGGAGAAGGAGGAAAGGGTGGGGTGGGGGGGCAGGAGGAAAGAGAGAAAACACCCACCCTTTTTCCAGGTCATGCCTCGAGCTCCACACAGGGGAAACAGAGCTCTCCGCATCCCTACCCCAGCATCCTCCCCCTTACAGAAGAGGTAGAAGCCCACACTTATGCACTGGGGCTAGAGACACCCCTCTTTATCCCCACTCCCCGATTCCATCCCCTCCTGCACTAAGGATGGATAAAGATCGAGACCCTTGCTCTGCCATGTATTGAGAATAGATTATTTTTGATTTATATAAAAGAGAGTAGGAATGGAAATGGGAACAAACAATTAGAACAGCAGGAAAGGCTTCCTAGCTACACTTATGTACCTGGCCACCCAGTCATCCTGCACTGGGCACAGACACAGCTTTTGGTTACAAAAAAAATAAAAGCCCTGAAAAACAAACCCTAACCATTCCACCTCTGCGCCTGCCCCTCCCCTGTCAGCTGGGAATTGTGACAGAAATACTGCTCCCTAGGTACATTGATTTTTTTTTCTTTTTTTTTTTTTTTTAGAAGTCTGTTTTCAATCTCCAGTTCCGTGTTGCTCTCTGCTGTGGGTAGATACATACTCCCACTACTCCAGTTCTCCACTGCACTGAGAATAGGGACAGCTACAACCTCTCCTTTTGTCAGCACGTTTCCATGTCATCCTGCACTATAGCTAAAGGAAAAGCCCAGGCACTCTGTTCTTTCTCCCCATCTCCGTATTGGAGATGAAGATACCATTTCCTCCTACCCTGTTTCTGTAGAGCCTGGACGTGGACCCTGGTCTCTTAGACCTTCCCGTGCACGAGGGGCCACACAGTTACTGAGAGACTCCCCTTCACCATTCTCTCCTTCTCCCCTCCCTCTTCTTGGCAACAGGGATAAACATATCCAACTATGTATCCATTCCTCTTGGATGGGGGCTGAGAGGGTACAAGGGTTGGCCAGCTCCCCTCGGCCTGGGGGACTTAAGGAAGAATCTCCAGCTTCATTTCTGCTTCATTTGAGATACTGTGACCTGTTTTTATTTTGAAATGCATAAAAAAAATTACTGCTACAAAAACAGCCTCTTACTCTCCCATCTATCCCTCGCTTATGTCCTGTAACTGGTCCCAGTTTTCCTCATTCATTCTCTTCTTTACAGTATTCATTTTCTTACACGGTTTTATTTTTAAAGACATTTGAAGTTGCTGTTCTTGTGGATTTTTAAGTACATTTTTTTTCTGCTGAATATATTCTATATATATAAATATATATATGATGTCTGGCTACCTCGTTTTAATTTGTTACTTTTTTTTTTTTTTTTTTTTTTTTTTCCTCCTCAAAAGCCCTGGAATTCTTACAGGAAAGAGATTTTGAGACTGAAACATTTTTGTGCCTAGACTGGAATAATGCCCCTTCCTTGGGTTTGTTCTTCATTTTTTCTCCCCTTTCCCCCTCCCTCTTTTTTTTTTTTTTTTCCTTTTAAAAAATCTTCGTTTGCTTTTGAGCTTACCCCGCTGTGTCCCACCTTCACATTCTGGTTGTGCCTCTCCCTCCCTCTTCACTGGGGATTGGGGACCCAAACTGTGCTTCTGCATTTTGCCTCTTGTAGCACAAACGTGTAAATGTGAGAATCCGTGCTGAGGATCGGGCTATTGCTACGATAGAAATGTGTAAAATGCAAGTCGGTTTTTTTACAAAATTATATAGAGATATATGCAAATCCTATCCCCTCCCCTCTCGAATCACCTACAAAAGGTCACTGTGCGAGGCTTCCTGTTTGTGGGCGAGGAGCGAGCAGCCTGCAGGCCCCGAGGCTGCAGCGCGAGGGGAGGAGACTGAAGTTCATCTGTCTTATCTCTGTTCTGTCAATAAAATGGAGCTGGTTCTTTAGATTTTTTTTTATTATTATTATTTTAAAGAGGAAGAGTTAAGGATTTTTTTTTATTTTTTTTTTAACAGAAAACTATCTTGGCTTTTTTTTTTTTTTTTTTTTTTTCTTTTTCCCTTTCTCACGTGTTCAATATCTCAAACCCTCCACAGTAACAGGCCAGACCACAGAGTTAACGCAAACCCAGAGACCCCTATGGATTAATTGTACTGTTTGTGAATTTGTATAAAAATAACAAAGATCCTCTTAAAACATTTTATATTCTTACAGTAAAAGGTTAAACTGATATTTATATAATAAAAGAGGAAATATGAAGTATGTTTTTGAAAAAAAAAAAAAAAAAAAAAAGTATCTGTGTTGTCTGTGCTTCTTGATGAGAGGTGCCTGCCTGCCCTGGTGTGCTCGTGGTGCTGAGAGGTTCGGGCCGCTGCTGAGGGAAAAGAGGTAGGGTCTGATCCCTCAGTGCAGGATGCTGGGTAGCATCAGCATTAAAAGGTTCTAGGGAAGGTTTGGTCGCAGCAGCACCGGCTGCGGGAGCTCTCGGCATCAATGGAGAGAACTGGTGTTGAGATGCTCCTTGGTGTGAGGTGTCTGCTTCAGCTGGAGTTTGTTACCACGTGAATTTGGTATTTTGTGACAGGGGAAAGCTGACACTTGAAAGGGAGAGCATAAGGACCGATCTGTTCATTCTTCATAGTGCCAGGTAGATGGTAGAGGGGGTCTGTGCCTGACTTGAGGCCCACCCTCACTCACCACTCCCTGCAGAACACCTATCAGATAAAAATGTTTCCCAGCAAAGCCGTGCAAGCACATGAGAACCTGGGACATCTGACATGGCTCCGCTGGTTTCCATTGCCCAAGCAAAGATGAAAGGAAAGAGGAAGTAAAGTGGGAACGTAAAAAAAAAAAAAAAAAAGTTTGAATAATTGAAGGTGTCCTTTGTACTATACCGTAATCTTTCTCTTTAATGTATGACTTTTAACCTGACAGGGTCCCTTTTAGACTTGCACGATGTGGGTTTTTTATTGTTGTTTGAGATGGAGCTTAAGCGGTGTTTATAGGGCATGAAACAAAGCTTTTCTCCCTCTAAGTCCTGCAGCAGGGCTTTCTCTCCCCCGCTGCCCCTTTCCTTTCTTAAAGGAGGGGTTGGGGTAGAGAGAATGCGAAATGGTGGAAGAAGCCAGAGCCATTGTTCAGGAAAGTTAAAAGAGGAGCTGTCCTTGCTTGCTTGTTCAGTCATGCATACTGAATCTCGCCGTGTGAGGGTCCCTATGGAAAGGAGGAGGGTGATTCTTCCCCTCTTTTTAACATTCCTCTCCAGGCCTGGCTGTATTTAAGCTGCTTTCCTCCATGCCGAGGAGGGAGGGGGATGGTCTGAAGTTCCTGTACATTTGCATTTTAAGCACTTCCAGCACTGAGCAGGCCACTTTGTTCCCTGTGCGCTATCCTGCTCGGGCACCGCGCTCACCGGGTGCTGCCCCTGGTGCTTGGCCGCCCAACCGAGGAGGTGTGGGGCCTGGCCCTGTGCTCACCTCTGCCTCCGCGATGCTTTTGGCTCAGGCTGGACAACACACGGCTCTTTGTTCCCAGCTCTAACCACCTCTCCCCTTTTATCTCGGTGCTGCATTTCAAAGGGGAAAATCACATTTCAAGAGGGCCGCAGTTGTGCATAACCTCATCCCCACCCCAAGGAAAAGGGCCGGCACCTTGAGACTGGGACTTTGGGGTCCGCGTTGTCTTCTTTCCCTCTCTAAGACTTCCACGCTTTCTGCTGAGAGTTCATCACAAAAGCTGCATTGTTCACACTGGGGAAAGCCACCACAATTGGATCTAATTGAGCCTGACACTATATCCATCTTCCTTTACTTGGAGGGAGGTGTGGGGTCTTTCTTTCCTGCATGAAGAAAAAGGTCTACAGTAACTTCCTGACTAAAAAGACAATGTACGAATGCTATAAGCGACAGGAATTCCAGATCAGGTTCCCGCTACCTCTGAAATGTAAGCGTTCCCAGGGTAGCCAGCAGTTCTAGTGAGGGACGGGGAATGATAGATCTCGCATGATAGATCCCCAAAAAGGGTTGTTTCCACTGGATTTGACTAAAAATGGTGTCTCCTTATTAAGGGCCATGTTTGAATGGGTAATAGTTGGATGTCTGTGTCTAAATGACTAGAATGTATGGGCTCTTGAGTTCTGTAATCAGGAATAGAACAGGATTTTTTTCCTAAACAACAACAAACCCCCAAAACACAAAACCAAAACAACCAAATACAAGAAAAAAAACACCAAACTTCTCTGCCTACTAGAGGAAAAAAACAAAACAAAAACAAAGCCAAAACCATTGCCCCATGGCCCAGCATACTGTTTAAATGGAAGCCAAGCCTAGACACTGCTGAAACCAAAGCACCCTGAGACACCACGGATTGTTCCCACTGCAGAAGCCAGTGCTCCTCACCGACTGCTGTGCTCTCGTGCCTGGGAACGACAGCTCCTTGGGCACAGCCTTACTGTACTGTGAAGCCAGAGCGGGGAGAATGCATGTTTTCACTAGTAAAGAGAAGGGTTTCTCCAAATAAATAATCCATTGCCAACAACCATAGACCAATTACCATATGACTCCTCAGGGTAACAAGAAAACTTAATTTTCGCTCTCCAGACGCTCTTGAATTTTTGAATATGACTCATTTGGCAGCCAAGGTAGAAAGCCATAAAAGCACCGTTTGGAAGCGGGCTGGAAATATCCTGTCTGTGTCCCCACACTCCTCAGAGCACCACCAAAGCAGCGAGGGCTCTGCACTGCCTGCCCCAGCCCCTGAGTTCCAGCCCAGTGAAAGCATCACCAGCCTTGCTGGCTGAGGCAGTCCTTGCCCAGGACAGAGGAGCAGAGCAGGTGTGACACAAAGCGGGGATAAAGGGACAGGCAGCAGAAGATGGCAGCTCGCAAGCTGCAGCGAAGCACCCGAGTGTGCAGGTCCCTGGCTGCTGCAGCAGCTGCGTCCCTGGCCAGAGCCAGTGGCTGGCTTCTCTCCCAACCAACCTCCAAAAGCACATGTGGGGAGGGAGAGATGGAAGGAAAGGGAGGCTCCACCTGGGTCCTACTGCCCTTGGAGGAGCATGTGGGAGTCGCGTGGAGATTTATACATTTTATATGCTTCCACCCTGTGCTGTAGTTTTGTCTGAATCCATTAGTCACAGAGATTTTGGGGTCGTTTGTTTCCCTATTAATAAATCATGAGGGCCTAGGGACAGGTGTAATGCAAACTGCCTGGGTCCATGCTAGGACAAGAGGTTGTCCCCATGAAAATATAGCTACCGAACATGCCCTCTGATAAAGGAGAAGAGCCAAAATGAGAGCACGGTGGCCAACGCACCTGGACTTTTCAGATCCAAAGGCACAAGTCAGGCTGCCCTTAGCAGCTTAAACGTAGGTAGGTACCCCTGGGGTCTGGCAGCCTCGCTACATATGTGCACGGGCTGCTTCTAGCAAAGTGAATCCTTTGCCTTCTCTTTTTTGATCCTCTACCTAAAACCCCACTACTTCAGCCAGCAGTAATTTAACAGTGCCTTCTGTGGAGGCAAAATGATCGACGAACCCATCGGGGTGGCTCAGGCCCATCCAAGGACCCCTAAGGACAGCAGTGAGGCCCCATGCCAGAGCTGCTGGCCGCATTGCGTAACGCTCCCTGCCTGGCCGCTGGATTCCCCAGCCTAGAGCTGGAGAGGGCTCACGGGCTCCTCTGCCAGAGCTCAGATTCCAGCCACGTTTGGCAGTGACACTGAGTGCTTTTCCACCATCTTTAATTAAATCTACCAAACGCATTAGCTACATGCCAGTCTAACCTGAAACAGTGCTGTCAAGATTTTGAAAGATCCAAATCCGACCTGCTCTTGCGACAGAATGATGAACAGAAACTGAAATGAACAGAGATTCTTCTAAAAGGCTTCCTAAAACCTGGGGTGTGCTTCGGAAGGGGTGCCAACAGTTCCACAGTAGGGATGTACGCCCCCAAGCAAGCATTTCCACAGGAGCTTATTGAGTTGTATCGAACCAGGCTGCCGTTCTGCTACAGAAACAGAGATGCGCACATAGACGCTTCCTTGTCGGTCTCCTCCTCTCGATTCTAGCGCCTCGGCCTCCGCCGTCTCAGGCCTAAGGGAAGGGAGGGACACGGGGACACCGGGCAGCCCCCCGCGAGCAGCCCCCGCCGCAGCTCCGCGCCGCGCCGCCAGGCGGCAGCATTGCCCGCCGAGTGCCGCCGCCCGCCCTGGGGAGCCTCCGCAGCGGGCTGGCTCCGGCTGCATTCAGCCCCGGGAGCTGCGCTCAGCCGCCGGCAAGGCGGACGGGGGCCCCGGCTACGCGCTCTTCACCGCCTAATTAATTAATTAGCACGCGCTGGGAAACGCGCTCCGCAGCGCAGGTGGAGTGCCGAGCGCAGGCAATGCCGCGCGTGAGCACTGCAGGGCGAGGCCGGCGGAGGTGTGTTGTCACCTCGGGGTCATCTGCAGCACTAGCAGGAAAATGGGCTGAAAGGCTGTAAGGAGAGGGAAGAGATTCTACGCGGGCATAGAATTGCAGAATCATTAAGGCTGGAAAGACCGCTAAGATCATCTAGTCCAGCCACGGATAAGTACCCTGGGTGAGATGGCTGCCGTTGGAAGCTGGTCTGGCAGGAAACAAGAAGTGGAGTTTGTCATCATCAGCACTTGGCTTCCCCATAGTTAATTCCAGCATGCTCCTCCAGCTCCTCAAACTGATGAGGCTGCTGTGGGTTTTCACCTTAAAGCAAATGGTGTGGAGACAGCTGCCTGGTCACGCCTGGTTCCCGTGTGGGACCCACTTGTCTAGGACTGAGATGGCTGCTGCTGGAAGACACCTATTTCAACAGCAAGACATGTTACAGAGTGATAGTGATAGAACAAGGAGGAATGGCTTTAAACTAAAAGAGGGGAGATTGAGATTAGATGTTGGGAAGGAATTTGTTACTCAGAGGACAGTGAGGACCTGGCACAGCTGCCCATAGAAGCTGTGGTGCCCCATCCCAGGAGGCACTCAGGGCCAGGCTGG